TTTTTCCTGATCACAGAAACTCTGTCTCGGACTTCATAGATTTAAATCAAAACAATAAAGTTAAATTGAAAAAATGTATCTTGTGTTTTGCTTACTAAACTCTAATTGGCAAACAAAGTTTTTGTTTGTAAGAGAAAGGGATGCGTTTACTCGGGCGGTGACTCAAACTCGATGCTGCTGCTGTTCAAGTTCACACGAAACCACTGGCAAACTGTACAGGCGGCGACAGGCGTACTCGTACAGCAGCAACTGCAGCAGCTACACTTAAACGGCACCAGTGGCAAGTGGTGAATCACACTGATGATAAGAGAAGCACTGCTGTTGCCACCGCCGCTAACAGTGAAAGGCCGATAGCTGTCTCTGACAGTGTGCTGCTGCAGCTTTTCTTGCTAACGCTCAATCGCATTCTCGTGAAGGGTTATCAGCCCATTTCGCTTCTAAACAGTCAACCTTTGACCTCTTTCTCTCTCTAATTGAAGACGAATCGTGTGAAAACGTGTGAGCAGTGGTGCGTGATTGCAGTGAGCTTTCGTCAGGCTTCTGTGTTTATGTTGCTGCTGCTGCTGCCACCGCCGCTGCTGTGTTTTCGGCAGCTCATTTTCTGTTGGCTTTTGTTGTTGATGGTGGTCGCTGCCGAAGCAGCAACATAGACGACGACGAGCCGGTAAAACTCTTCCTTTCTATGATAGAGTAAAAGTAAACAATCACCTTATTACTCCACTTTTATCCACTGTTGTCATGGAGGCGTACTATTGTTGTTGCCACCAGCACCATCATCACTAACAACCGTTATCCTCAATGTTCTCACTGCTGTCTTTCTGTTTGTTATCATCCTAATCTCTTTCTACAAAACATCCGTACAGAAACAAGAAAAGAAGCCGTACAATCACAAGAAAAAGAAGGAAATCACGACGCTAGTTTGAGAGCTAGCGTATAACCAGGCTCACCAGAGAGCACACATCCCCACACAAACGCACAAAACACGGACAAAAGATGTCTTTTCTGTCTTCGCCTTGGTCACTGTTCACCTCATCTCAACCGGAGAAACTGGATACCTACTCGGTGGTGCGGGTGAACATCGAGCAGTACGTGCTGCAGGAGATAGTCGATGGCTACCTGGAGGGAGGCCTTCGACTGCACAAGGTCAACGTCAACGCCACCACCTGGGACTACAACATCGTCCTCGAGATGACCGATGGCACTACCTTCAGGTAAAGTACACAATCAAAGTTTCTTTAGCATCAAATTTTACCTTCTGATTATCACAACTTTTTTCAGCATCTACCGATCGGGCAACCTTGAGGAGAGTCAGGCGTACTTTCACCAGCTGCAGCCCATTCTGCCAGTGCTCATGGTGAACTGCCCCAAAGGAGTGGTCACCCTCGCCAGTCTGCCCACCCTCACCGAGCACATTCGAAACCATCCAGGGCAGACGCTGCTTCACTTTGCCGCCCACTTTGGCCTTCTAGAGCTCTTCACCAAGGCACTGGCCTATGACTACATCGACGCGGAGGACCGCCAAACCGGACAGACGCCACTTCATGTGGCAGTTCAGTCGGGAAAGCTGCCTACAGTGCAAGCTATGCTATCGCTCCACCCGCAGCTGGACCCAATTGACCGACAGGGAAACACCGTCCTCCACCTGGCCGCCAGCTCGGGCAATCTTCCCATCCTAAAGGAGCTACTCAACCGATGTCAGGCCTGTCTGCTAAACAGTGATCCCAACGGCAGCGGACACCACAGCTCGGCGTACCTGCGCCTTCTGAACGCCCTCAACGACGTCGGTCAGACGGCGCTGGGCCTTGCCTGTGCCCATGGCCAATCCTCGGAGCTGCTAGTCAAAGAGCTCCTCCAACGGGGCGCCAACCTTCACGGCGCCGTCCTCGACCTCACCAAGGAGTACCTCGATGGGCACGCCTCCAGTTACCTTCTTCCCATGGCGCCTTCCTCCACCTCCACCTCCACCTCTACCTCATCCCCTTCCTTTTCCAACTCAGCCAGCCTTCTCTGGCCGCAGCTTTCGCCCTACCTTGACGCCAAAACGCTCAAAGACGGCGGCACGCCCCTGCACTGGTGCACCGGCAACAGCCGCGCCCTCGTCCTCTGGCTGCAGCTGGGCGTCGACGTGAACGCCCGCAACTGGCACCACCGTACGGCGCTGCACGTCGCCATTGACCGCGTCGACCTGGGCGCCGTCATTCAGCTACTCAGCAGCGGCGCAGATGTGAACGCCCGCTGTGGTGATGACGGTGGCGGTGACACGCCTCTTCACTTGGCCGTCAAACGGGCCCTCAAAGCCTCTTCCTCATCATCGGCCTCATCACCGGTCATCTCTCTGTCCAGTCCAAGCAGTGTTCCCTTTGCGAACATGATGGCCATCGTCCAGGCTCTGCTCGTCTTTGGAGTTGAGGTGAACGCTCTTTCTACTAGTGGTGGAGATGGTCAAGAAAATAAATTGAGCAGCCAGGTCACCGCCCGTCATCTGGTGGCCGGAAGCGAGGTGTCGGTGATGCGCAACCAGCTCCTCTACGTCCTGCACACCGTGAACGCCTCTCGGTGTCTCAAGCCGAAGACTTTATCCGGCTCAGGCTTTGGTCGTCAGGGAAGTAGTGGTGTTGGTGGCTCGACCTGTGCCGAAGGCTGCTCACCGAATGGCCACGACTTCAATGGGACGCCTTTTGACCTGCCGCCGAATATCTGCCTTCGAAATAGCCCTGTCTACGATCCACTGCTAATGGGACCGGTGGTGGAGGCGGCCATTCAGGAGATGGAAGCGAACAAAAAAAATAGCAAAAGCAAAAGCTGTGAAAGCTGGTTCTCTTCCTCAACAAAGAAGGACACAAAGAAGAAAAAAACGGCAAAAAAGTTGAAGCTACTTTCGCTGGACGGCGGTGGCGTTCGCGGCCTGATCATGATTCAGCTGATGGACTTTCTGGAGCGTGCCACCGGACGGAAGATAGTGGACATGTTTGACTGGATTGCCGGCACTAGCACCGGCGGCATTCTGGCGCTGATGCTCGCCTCTGGTTATTCAGGTCAGTAGCTAGCCAACTAGCTGTTACCTCATTACTAAAACTTTGTGCTGTTGTTGTTTTCTTTCAGTAAACGAGTGTCGACAGATCTACTTTCGCTTCAAGGATGAAATTTTCGTCGGCAGTCGACCACATCCGTCGGACAAGTTTGAGGCCTTTCTGCAGCGATACGTCGGCACTGAACGGCGAATGTGCCACTTGGAGAGCAGTGAAGGGGGCGGCCGCCTGCCGCGCATCATGGTGCCCGTCACTGTGGTCGACTTTTTCCCGCCTGAGCTGAAAATCTTTCGCAGCTACCACGGACCAGAGGACCTTCTTCTCCTTTCCTCCATTTCTTTTTCTTCTCCTACCTCAGGTTCTACTCCTTCTCCTCTATCAAATGAAGAGCTGATATGGAAGGTGGCACGCGCTACCGGCGCTGCCCCTTCCTTTTTCAGCAAGTTCGAAGGTCGCTACCTGGACGGCGGACTGATTGCCAACAATCCCAGTCTGGATCTGCTCAGTGAGGTGCAGAAGATGGCGGCCACAGTTCGACAAGTGTCAAAATGCAATTTGTCTGGAAATGATGACTGCTCAATGGAAGTGGAAGAAGGTAAAGATGACAAAGACGAAAGTGGTGATTCCTTCTCTGTTGGACTGCTCGTCTCGCTGGGCACCGGCCTGTCGCCTTCTGAGCCTTTCAAGGCACTGGACAACATATCGCTCACTTCCTATTCAGGTAAATGATAGTGTTGGCTGTCTTACATTTATCAACTTATGTGCTTATCAATCCTCAACAGGTTTCAGCGACATTTGGCAGCTGGGCCGTGTGCTGATTGAGCAGACCACTTCAACTGACTCTCATGTGGTGGAACGGGCGCAGGCCTGGTGTGCCGGCCTTTCCGCCTCTTACTTTCGCCTCAATCCGCCCCTCTCTGAAAGTTTGCCTCTGAATGAGACCGACAACGTTAAACTGGTGCACATGCTCTGGCAGACGATGACCTACGCCCACCGACACCAGGACCGCCTCTTTCAGCTGGTGACGCTGATGACTGGCGAGGAACAAGAGTGAAGAACAACAATGGATGGTGCAATGATAACACTGTTGCTGATGACGATGATAAATGGTAACAAGTGCTTTCTTTATTCCTCATTCTTCCCCTTTTTCCCCCTAAACAACTGAGGTTTTTTCTTATACTGTGACGCACTCTTTGTGATATGTTGATCACTGTTGATTCTCATTGTTTTTTTAATTTCTGCTCCTCTTTTTCTTTCAAAACAAACTCTTTACTGTGATTTTGTTTTTTATTTAAATTTTCTACTTTTCAATTTGCCCTTCATTGTTATAATTTTATAACAATGTCTAGAATTCATATATTAAAAATAAAATGCTACGTTTAATAATCAAATACGTTAATCATTTTACTTAATAAATTTTTGAAAGTTGTAAATGCAAGGATTATGTTTAAAAAACTGTTTTTTCATTTCATCTTAAAATAACCACTTTTTTTGCGGCGCCATTATTTTCATCGTCTAATTTTTCAAATTGGCACCAAACATAAAAAATAGTGCTGCAGTAGTAGTAGTTGTGCGGCAACAAACTTAAGTTTTTGAAGGTCAAGATTTCATCTGTTTTGTTGAGGCAGTGATTTGTTATTAATAGCACTCACATTTACACGCATCTGCACCCGATCAAGTGACAAAAAAGACAACAACGGGTGTCTTACATTTGAAATAAGGTTTAGTGGTAAACCACCAAGCAAACTAAAAAAGTGTTTTTACTACTTGTTTTCTTTAGTGTTTAAATAACTACAACTACATTTTTTAAAATTTTATTCATTAGATAAAAGCATACGTGCTAGATCTCACACACAAATTGTTCGTTAAACAGAAATTTAAAAACTGAATATTTATTCACTGTGAATTTTTGTTCACTAAAAACTGTAAATTTTGTTTTGTAAATTACAATTTTTTATGATACTTTAAAACATGGGGAACTACGTAGCGGCTAATGCTGCAACCAAAGTAAGTTTTTGTTTTTCGTATTTTTACTTTATAATACTAAAAATTAAACTTTAGCAGTCTTCAGACGAATCTCGCCTTGTAACTCGTTATGATGTGGAAAACTCTAATGCTGTTTCATCCAGTACCGCAACAATTGACAATGAGCACCTCCGCATAGCCATTCAGTCACTGGACACTCTGATTAGTAAAGTTGTGGCAGAGAAAACAATACAATATCAACAACAACAAAAACAACATCAGCAGTTATCATTATCATCAACTTCAATTCAAAACAAAAAAGAAGAAAGCGATGACTTAAAAGTCAATACCAGTGAAAATTCAACTAAACAAGTATCTATTGTAAATGCTGAATTGGTGACCGCTTTGGCAGCCAGTTTGGCTAACGCTCTGGCAAATCAATCCGGACAACTCAATTCACTAGTAGACAAACCACCTCAAAGGCAATCAGCCCGTCGACTTTCAGCAGTTTCCTCATCTCCACTGTACAGGTGTCCCAGTAAGCTAAAAACTATTTGCAATCAATTGTAAACTTTTTTATTAATTATTTTTAATTGCTTTTTTTATACAGTGGAAAACAACAACTGCACCGGCAGTCGTCAGCAGCTAGAGACTGGTGCGAGTAGTTTATCAGATACTCTCGCCCCCTCGTTATCATCCTCATCAAAAGTCAACTACAAAAACCTCTTTCCAAGAACCTCAACATCGCCATCAGCTGCTGCTGCGTTTGATAATTCAATGGTCGATGTGAATTCACTCTTTCAGGAAAACGTCGGTGGACTGTTTGGACAAATGCTGCAACAGACTACGCAAGCCACTGCTGAGAATCGGCGTATGAGTAATGCCCTGATTGAAAACATGACCAATTCAGTGATTGGAAATGGAAACAACAACAGCAATAGCAGCAACAGCAACAGTCCACTGGACACTGTTCGCATTAACTTGCCGGAGATTTTGGATGCTCAGGATGAGATCACCTTGTTGAGACTACTGATCAAGCTGCTCAGTGGCAAGGTGACCAAATTGACGGAGGAAAAACGCCGACTACTATCAAGTATTTCTTACTTGGGAGAAATTAATTCAGAGATGGCCATGCTTCTTGAGCGTGGCATTCAAAAGTGATCTTTCTTTAGAAATCAATTCAAATAATATTTTTATTGTTTTATTGTTTTAAACTTTTACTACGACTTAGTTGCTGCTAGTTTTGCAAACAAAAAATAAAAATAATAAAGTTGATGTTTATTTATTTAACCTGAACTAATTATAATATTTTCGGTTAGCAACAAACGGTCGAAATATAATTGGCTCCAATTAAAAGATAAAAAGAGCAAAGGCATCCACTGTATTTGTTTTCATAGCAGACACCGCCGAGCTCTGGTCATAACCATAACCATTTGTTGCTTGCTTGCCTTGCCACTTCACTATGAGCCTGCACCCATTACTGAACATTCCAATCATGTGAGTTAAAAAACAAAAACACAAACATTGCCAAACTAACTCTGCAGTAGTGTGTGATACGCAAAGCCGGCCACTACCCAAAGACAAGTCTGCAGACTAGAACTGAAATGAAATGAAAACAAGCAACTGCCCTTTTCAGTCGTTATGAACATCAAGGGCAATATTATGGCTACCAACGACAGCAGCAGCAGCACAACATCAAAATAACCTTCAGTCCTACAACTGCACCTGCTTATCACCAGTACCACCAGACGACATTTACTGTCACCTGTCGCGTTAGTGCACCACAAACGCCGCAACAACATCAGCAACAGCAGCATCGTTTTTTGACAATCGTGTCACAGTGCACGAAACACCACCTATCACCACTAAAAATATCGATATCTTATCAGGCAGTGTGTATCTTACCCGGTGACTGGTGGTCATTTAAGACAAATCAACTCACAGCCAACTTGCAAGTGTTTTTCAGTTTTTTTTGTTTCACACACGCTCTCTCTTTCTCTCTTTTATCGCTGATCAGATACATCGCTAAAAAGTGAAAACATTAGTCAATCAAACTTTGTCCTGCTGCTGCTGACTTGCTTCAGTTTTGTTTTGTTGTTTTGATTTGTCAGCCACCGCCACCGAAATTGTTTCAATTGACGTTGAAGAAGCGACTGATTTTTTGTCGTTCAAGTGTTGTGACAACAGCAAGAACATTAACGATCACCACTAAATCAGAAGCAGTGTAGTGCAAAAGGGGAGACAGTGGAGACAGTGGTGATCACCGTTGCTTCAATTCAGTCACAACAGCAAAGCGATTCATCGGTCGTCAGCATCATTGCCGCATTATCCGCACCACCATCTGCTTTAGCCTTTATGCAAATAGTACTTTATTTGCATCTTTTTTTGTTTCTTATTCGTAAAAAAACGAAGTTTTGCTATTTAGAAACAAAGTGTCACTGAGTGAGTTTTAAATTTTTGTGCCTTTTAACTATGCAAATCAGTTCAAGTTTATGATTTTCATTGATTGTTTTTTCTTTAGTAGTTTTGTTTAAGTAGTGAGTAGTAGCAAACGCAAAACCTTTTTCATCACACCTGATCACCGCCACCACCACCACTAACACCACATTGCATCATGACATCGCAGAAGATGCCAAAGATCAACCGAAAGCGACCTCGTGATGAGAGCCTCAATGACATGAGCGGAAGCGACGACGACGAGGGGACCTCAATCGACGATGTCCCCAAAACGGCTCCCTCACCAAAGATGTTCCTGACGTCCGATGCGGTCTTCTTCAATGACCGCCGCCGCCGAAGCAGCAGCAGCAGCAGCAGCAGCAACCACAAAATACCGTCTCCTTTCGCTAGCAACCGAAACAGCATTCCACCCACCACCACCACCACTTCCACTACCACCATGCCTAACAACAACAACCCCAATCACCCCAATCCCTTGGTGAATCTGCCCACCTGGGCGCCGACAATCGCTTCTCAAAAGGACGTCCTTCGCCGTGTGCTGCGCCAGCTGCAGGGCGAAAGCGGCGGCAGCCAGCGCACCCTGCAGTTCCGCTACGACCTGGTGATGAAGGCGAAGGCCGACCTGCAGGTGGCCTTCCTCCCGCCCTGGCACGAGGGCATGGTGCCCCTGGTGCGTGCCAACGCCCGCGACCATCTCACCTTCTCCCTGCTCGTTTTCGACCTGACGGGCGCCAGGCCGCCGGCCGCCGTCAACTGTGACTTGCCCCGGCAGCTGCGCCTCCCCAGCTCCGCCGCCGGCACCTCTTCTTCTCGAGCTCCGGAAACTCCGCTGACCGCCGCCCAGCTCCACCTGCCCGACGTGGATGATGAGCTGCTGCAGCTGTCCTTTCTCATCTACGACAATCTGCAGATCAACTACTGTTGACAATTGATGTGTCCTAGACCTGTGTCCCCTGTAATCTCTCAGTAATATCCAGCATTGGGAGCAGTAATCTCTGTTCCGCTTTGTAAATCTGCAAATGACCGTTTCAAGTTTTAAGTATTTTCTTTCTGGCTAAACATTCCTTTCCTTTACATTTCCTTTCTTTGTTGAGTTGAAGCTACTGTTGATACTGTACACCCGATCAGAATTTGTACTACGCTGACCAGAACCTTTCCCTCTTCTCTATCGTCACATTTCTGGTCACACACTTTACTGTAATTGTACTGTCTGTCTTACACAACTTTTCAGCAATCTTACACTACTTGTTCTCACTCTTATCTTACAATTTCCTTNACTGTCTGTCTTACACAACTTTTCAGCAATCTTACACTACTTGTTCTCACTCTTATCTTACAATTTCCTTTCTCCGTTTTGGCGCCAACTTTGGCGTTTTAAAATGCATACTGTACTTGCTTGTACGACTGCTAACAAGACCATAACAGCACTCCCGCCTAAGCGGTATTAAAACAATTTTCCTAAATGTTTCTTCATCNAACTTTTCAGCAATCTTACACTACTTGTTCTCACTCTTATCTTACAATTTCCTTTCTCCGTTTTGGCGCCAACTTTGGCGTTTTAAAATGCATACTGTACTTGCTTGTACGACTGCTAACAAGACCATAACAGCACTCGCGCCTAAGCGGTATTAAAACAATTTTCCAAAATTTTTCTTCATTACTGAGTTTGGGAAATGTTTCGTGCACGGTTAAAAAGCTCTCCTGCAGCATGGGTGGCGGTGGTGGTGACAATTTCGCCTATCAATAAGTAGTAGTAGAGTATTGATCCGTTTGATGGCGACATCGCTGCTGTCAGTCACTGGCGATTGCACTGCACAGATCACACTCACTCAGTGTGTGTGTGTGTGAGTCACTGGCTACGACTCTCTTTCTCAGGGCAGCAACGACAGTGGCGTCACCAGAGATTGTACTGCTGCTGCTGCTGCTCACAGTACACCGAAGCTCAATCACAACACACACACACACAATTCGCTCCCTCGCTCACTCACTTTCACTCTAGCGAAGAACACACTGCTTTTAAAGCCGCATTTGATTTTATCATTTTTCTGCTGAAGAGTTTTGAAACTTTGGAACTCCTTCCTCTGGCGGTGATAGCCAATAGCTACTGTAAGTACATTACTACTTATGTTTCATTTTTACTCTTCGTTCAAAGCCTCCTTTCCTTCAGTCCTTTTGTCTTTTTTCCATGTTGTCTTTCTCTCTCTCTCTCTCTCTCTGCTTTGTTTGTGTTCCAACTGATGATGCAACTGTCTCAATTCGTTTCTGTAACCACATTGTGTCTTTCGTCTCTTTATGTCCCTTTTTTTGTGTGTTACACTCAGCAATTTGATTAGTGTGGGCAGTCAAACACACACACGCGCACACAGTAAACAAGTCAAGACACTACAAAATGTTTCCCACTAAGCTCAATCAGTCACTCCCACTGTACAGCAGCAGCGGCAGCAGTTGTACTGAAAAGTTTCAAAAGCAGTCCAATTACCACCACCACTTTCTGCGGCGAATTCGACTTGCCTTCTGGCGGCGGCCAAAATTGTGCCTCCTTGCCGGTGCCCTCTGTCTGGGTCTGCTCTATCTGCTCCTCGAAGCACTGACTGGTCACTCTGCAATGACCTCTTCCGCCTCCTCTTACTCCTCATCCTTTCTGAACTCTCACCAGCACCACCAGCAGTTTGACAGCAACCTGGCCAGTTTGAGCGTCAGCAGCCGTTGTGCGCCGATGAGCGCCAACACTGCCGCCGCCTACACCGCCTTCGTCAAGGCCCTTCTCCGAACGCTGGACATGCTCCAGGTGGGCCACTTTCTCTGCTACGACAGTCTCTGGCGAGTGCTGCGCCACCAAAATGGCGAAGGCGGTGGTGGTAATGGTGGTGGACAGCAGAAAAAAGTTGAAACTTTTTCAAAACAACAACAGCACTTAAACACTGCTCAAACTTCAGCTAGGCCTCTGCATCTGAAGCTTCGCCTAGCGGACGGCTGTCTGAATCTGTGCATCCTCAATGAGGAGCTGATGCGCCACGAAGAGGCGCTGGTGGAGCGCCGCTTCCGCAACGCCGGCATCACCGTTCGCTACAAGCACGGCGACGGCCTCTACCTCATGACGCCCACTACCAGAATATTCAAAGAGGCAGAAGGAGGGGGTGTTGAAAATGGTGGTGACCTTCACCCTGAGCTGTTCACCCTGCACGCCCGAGTGCACGTTTTCGAGCGTGACCCGCTGATTGATGAGTACCGGCGAGTGGGCTGGAAAGCCCGGGTCCTTCCCTCGACCATGTGCAACCAGCTCCATTGTTTTCCGCCCACTTTGGTAGAGCAGCCCCTGCCCAAGGTGCAGCTGCTGCCCGGCGTGCTGGTCAGCGTTCCGAGAGAGGGCGTGGAGATGCAGAAGTACCACTACCCGGACAACTGGTGGAAGCTGGGGATAAATGGTGCTGGTGACTGTGGCNGCCCGGCGTGCTAGTCAACGTTCCGAGAGAGGGCGTGGAAATGCAGAAGTACCACTACCCGGACAACTGGTGGAAGCTGGGGATAAATGGTGCTGGTGATTGTGGTGATTGAAATGTCAAAAATGTGCTTTTAACTTCTACTACCTATTCAACTGTCGTCTTCCAGCTGCTTTTGGTTGTGCCAACACTACTACTACTACTAGCCAAGATTTTGTGTCTATTTGCTAATGTGATTTTAGTCAGTCCCCCCTCTTTTTTGTTGCCCTGCATCATCGACAAGCAATTTAGTGCCACATTTTTCTCAGTCATTTCTCTCAACTCTTTGTAACTTGAATTACTTTTTATATTTTTTAGTTTTTTATTCATTTTTTCTTTTACACCTTTTTCTACTCTCTCGCTTTCGTCTGCACAGACAGAAAAGGCTAACTTGAAAATTTAACACACACTGCTTATAACACAGCAGCAAGCAACACACAGCACAGCCTTCAGAACACCATCTGCTCATCGTTTAGCTAAGCACAATAGTGACCATGGACGCCAACATTCTGAACACCCTCATAGCTGATAAGCAGTTCAAGGCGCACGTACAGTTCCTGAAGCTGGCCCGAGACTGCCTGGCCGCCAATCCTTTGGTCAGCTACTGGGCTCTGTACTACGTTCTCGAACAGGGCATCAAGACGCCCGTTCAGGATGACGCTTTTCGCCGCCAGTTGGGCGTCATTATGACTGTCCTCGAGAAGGTAAACCATTTCATCATTTTCTACCTTATTTTCAAGCTTTTGTACTAATTGAGCTGTTTATTTTTCTCCGCACAGGAAAAAAGCTCTCGCAAGGGCGATCCACTCTTTGACAGTGAAGCCGAGTCGCGCAAATTCATTGAAAACTACGCCAATCAGCTGCTGGTCNATTTAGTGCCACATTTTTCTCAGTCATTTCTCTCAACTCTTTGTAACTTGTATTACTTTTTATATTTTTTAGTTTTTTATTCATTTTTTCTTTTACACCTTTTTCTACTCTCTCGCTTTCGTCTGCACAGACAAAAAAGGCCAACTTGAAAATTTAACACACACTGCTTATAACACAGCAGCAAGCAACACACAGCACACAGCCTTCAGCACACCATCTGCTCATCGTTTAGCTAAGCAAAATAGTGATCATGGACGCCAACATTCTGAACACCCTCATAGCTGATAAGCAGTTCAAGGCGCACGTACAGTACCTGAAGCTGGCCCGAGACTGCCTGGCCGCCAATCCTTTGGTCAGTTACTGGGCACTGTACTACGTCCTCGAACAGGGCATCAAGACGCCCGTTCAGGATGACGCTTTTCGCCGCCAGTTGGGCGTCATTATGACTCTCCTCGAGAAGGTAAACCATTTCATCATTTTCTACCTTATTTTTAAGCTTTTGTACTAACTGAACTGTTTTTTCTTTCTCATACAGGAAAAATCTTCTCGCAAGGGCGATCCACTCTTTGACAGTGAAGCCGAGTCGCGCAAGTTCATTGAAAACTACGCCAATCAGCTGTTGGTTCGCGCCGAGAATGAAGTTGAGCTGGGTGTCAGTCCGAGGTAAACAAGAGCAGGTTTTAAAAGTGTTGATCAATTGAACATGCAAACAAAACTAACCAACTGCTCATTTACTTTTCATTTCTTCACCAGCGTCTCTATCAAGATTTACCTCTCTGCAGCTCACGTGTCGACGCTGTTGACGCTGTTTGGCGACAACTCCGAGGAGAACACCAAGCGCATCAAGTACTGCAAGTGGAAGGCGGTGACCATTGCCAAAGAGGCAAAAAGTGGTGGTGGTGGAGGTGGTGGAAACTCTTCCGGCGGAGGTGGTGGTGGAGATCTGGATGAACACAATGCTCCACCACCGCCTTCCTATGGTGATAGTAATGATGACTATGCCGCCAACTCTTCCGCCAGCGACTACAGCAGTGGAACTCGTGGAGGTTTTGATCGACAGCCTTCAGAGGCGGAGAAGAAGCCTGAAGAGGACGATGATGCCAATATTGATTTCGGTATGTGATGACTACTTTTTTAAAATAATGTTCACTTTCTTAACTAAACTTTGTTTTTAATCTACCGTTTTAGCCAATCTTTCGCTGTCTGACTCAAACTTGAAGAAAGCTGAACTACTTTGCGAGAGCGCTCTTTATGCGATTCAAAGCAAAGACATTCTCTCGGCAGTGACCAGCCTCAAGCAGACGATGGCCGTTTTGTTGAAGGGAGCTAGAAAGTGATGAGAATACAAAATGAAGAAAAAAGCAAGAAGATTAGAGTTTGGTGAACTGATGGTGCTTTCCATTTCAACTAAACATTCGCTGTTGTGTGATCTCGCCTGTTTCTTTTTCATCTTTCACCTTTAAACTGTTGTACATTGAAAACAAGGTTTTCTAAAATTGATGTGCTCGTGAATAAAATAAAACACTTTTCAGTTATAAACCTAAAAAATTGACATACAATTTTAAAAGTCAATTGAGGTTGTCTAGACTAGAAAATCAGTCAGTCGATGAGTGGTTTTCAGTTCCCAAGCAAGTGTTTGACCTGAAAGAACTATGTTTTGAGGACACGTCGTCGTTGGCACACGTTGTTATGATGATCTTGTTAGTTTAGCCTAAAAACACAAGTGCACGACACCAACACTAATAACACTGTAACCTAATGATACTCAATCGACACCGGAGCATGTTTGCTAGGAGTGTTCATTAGTCACCTTATCAACTGCTATGCATCAATTGCTGGCTGCAATGTGAATGCTGCTGTTGAACAGTTCGGATGTGCTGATTTCCGTTGATTTTGCTACTGCTCAGTAACGCACTACGTTTTGAGCCATTGGCTGTGGTAGTAATTGTGCTGGTGCCGGCATGTCTGTACAGCCTGCGTTTTGTTGGTTGTTGACCAACCTCAAGAGTTCAACATCATACTTGTCTAGCCTCAATTTTCTAGAAGTTTCAAATCTTGGAGCAAATCAATCCTGGTCAAGTGGTGGTGGTGGTGGCGGTCACTGATCTCATTTAATGATTTCACTTTTTCCAGTTCAAACACATGCACTGTTTGCCACTTCACAAATCTGATGATAATGAGAAGGGGAGAGAAGGGGATATCTGTAGTATGTGTGCTTGGTAATGAGACAAACTGGCTGTATAAAAGCTTTACCCAACGCTCTGGCCTAATCCATTACAGTGACAAACAGACAGACAGACAGTTTACTTGAAACTGAACAGCAAACCACTAAAGTTAAATTTTCTGTTTTCAAACGATAGTTTTGTGAACAACCAAAATATTTGAAAAACAGTGAAAAAATGTTTTCTACCTCAATGAAGTACGTCATCTTTGTTGTGCTGCTGGCGGCGTTCCTCGAGCTGGTGGCCGCCATTGGACGTGCCCCAACCGCCGTCGAGCACAACGCCTGTCGGGTCAAGTGGGCTGAGCAGGTGAACGAGGTGAAACGGGTGTACAAAGATGAACGAGCCTCGGTGCGAGCTTTCAATGTAAGTTAACATTGCATTTTGACAGAATGTTCTCAAACTTAAACTTAAATTTTTTTTTTGTTCAACTTTGCAGAAAGGCCTAGACGGCTTTCCCTGCATGACCAGTTGCCGAATTTCTTTCCGCGGCAATGTCAAGGACATGGAAGACATCTTCACGCCTGATGACGTCCAGTGCGCCACGGGACCTTTTCCGAGGGTAAGAGGTCATCGCCAACATTATAATTTAACTTGATTGCGCCAACATTTGATGATGAGCATTCAGTGATTTTACTATTCCATTGTTCGCTGTTCAATGAGCGACGATCAAATGTGTTTTATTGCAAGCACCAATTTAACAGACACTAGCCGGCACTTGTTCTAATTTCAGTGCGGTAGCTTGCTTATTGAAAATGGCAAGCAGATATATTCACATTTGCCAAATGTGGTCAAGTGGTTGTTAAAAGTCTGCTAGCAAAGAGTATTTTGATCACTTTTTGTTGTAGCCGACACAGCAATACTTAAGTAGTAGCAACGAACTTAAATTTTAGTTTTTTTGCCTCTTTTTTCATTCTTTCCATTTGCATTAACATCACTTTTTTGTTTTATTTTTTAATTGTTTTAGTTCTGCATGAAAGGACGATGTGTTCTGCCAGCCAAGTACCGCACTGGCGGCGAAGGCCCTGCTGGCGCCTTGAGCAAACTGGGACAACAGCAGATGCCCAGTTTTGGTCAAATGTCTCCTCAAGAGTAAACTGAGAAGAAGCTGAAGAAGACGTAGTTTCTTCGTTGAAACAGCCATCAAACACAAAACTATCAAACAAAACTAGGACAAAGAAAGACTGGACGCAAAAACCGTGCACCAATCGAGCAGCACTGTCCTACAGGCCAAGCAATGATTTACCTCTTTTTTCGTTTTTTATTTTCTTTCATTTATTCTCCTTTTTAATTGACTGCTCTCCTCTTTGGCCATAACCCCTTTCGTATTATATTCTTAACTATTTGCTTCATTTTTCAAAGCACACTGAACACGCACTACTAAACACAGACACTGTCTGCCATTTTTCTACAGACTACTGTTTTCAATGCATGTCTGCTGCACTAGACAGTGGCAGACAGGGCAAATACTGTAAGTCAGCATCAGCCCAGTTATCAAGACTGATTGAGACTGTCTAAGAAAAGCAGAATAAAGAAAAAGGCAGACAACACACATACATTACACCAGACTTTTATTTATCACCATTAAAAAAGAGAAAAATGTAAGAAAATTAAACAAAAGCGCAAACAACAAAGTGTGTGTTTTAATGACGTCTGGATCAATTTCAATTATCAGACTGAAATGATGCTGTTGCTGCTGTCAAAAACATGTCTGCTCCGCCAGTTTGACATGACACAAGTTTGGCGGTCACGGTGGGACTGTGACAGGGAAGAAAATGAAGCGAAAGAAAAAGAATACAAAGCACACTTGTGCTGATCAGAAGAAGTTGGCAAAAGTTGCAATAGCACCCATGTGTCAGAAATGCGTGCGTGTGTGTGCACTTGAAGTCTGATCAATTCGATCAGGCTGCAAAAACCAGTCCTTTTTCAAATGACTTCATTAGTTCAATTAAGATGACAGCGGCAAGGACATTTAGTGTTGTAGTTGTAGTCGTTGTCGTCGTAGTGGTCGTAAGTGACTGTTTTCTAATGACACTGTTGATGATCATCATCATCAGCAGCAGCAGAAGCAAAAGGAGTTAAGCAAAATGTTGAGCGTTTGATGGTAAAGCCCACTACCTTTTCTTCCTTCTCTTCTTCTTTTTCTTCTTCTTTTTGCCCGTCTCGTTTGAGCAAGCTTTGTTCAAAGTCGGCGGTGTGGGGAAAATGGGTAATTGAGCAGACTTCAAAGAATGTGCTTATTGGCGGCGGTGGTGGTTGATTGCCCACTGTCTGCCCCCACTGCCACCACTTCTGACTACTGCTGTTCAGTTGTTGATGAACAGCTGGTAGCCCATCCACATCCAGAAGATGAAGAAGAGGGTGACCGGAACGGAGACCGGCGCCAGCATCAGATAGTAGGAAAGGTCCTCCTCCATCATCATCATTCACTGCCGACACACTGCCACGGCCAATGTCGCCAATGTGTTTGCCGGTAATGGTTACGACAACAAACAGCAGTAAAAAAGTGGGTAAAATACAGCAAACAAAAGCAATTGCTTCGTTGATTGATTCTTGATCACCTCGGCGCTTTCAGAGGTGCTATTGTGTTTTGCTGCTGTCGTTGTCGTTGTTTCTGCTGTTATTGGGAATAAAAAGTAGAATGCAGAATGGAAAACTCAACTACAGTAATGGCAAACTGGATGAAACTTTTACTGCAGCTAGACTATTTTTCTCCTCTTTTCAAGGTTTGAAAGCTTTATAAAACGGAGGTTAAAAGAGGTAGGCAGAAAAGATGAAGAATGAAGAAGAAGCTAATGTTGTTGTTGCTGCTGTTGTTGTGGTTACTTTAAGGTAGGAAGAGAAGAAAAGGCGTACAGGAGAAAAAGGGGCATTTTTACGAGCATGCAGTGTCTGTCGTCTTCAGTGTGCTCCAATGTGACCACTACCATCAGCACTACCGTCGCTATCACCATCACCATCACCACAATCACCACACAATCACCACCTCCACCTGGTCACTCCTGGCGACCGGTTCCACACTCTGACTCAGTCTCTTTCTTTTCAGTTGTTGAGGAGTTACCGCTGTTGACACTACCGTCGACAACTTCTGTTGACTGGCTGACTCTGACTGATTCTGGGTGCACTCTAAGCAATGCTGTGTGCTTGTTCTATGTGTTGCTGTATGTTGGTGATAAACATCATGGCAGCAGCAGCAGCAGCCAGTGCTAATTGCCAGTGAAGGCCAAATTTTGTGATGATGATGATGATGATGATGATGATGATGATCAGAAATGAAAAAGTTAAAGAAGGTTGAAAGGGAAAAGAACAAAAAAAAGCAGAGAGCAAACAAGAAAAAAGTCATAACATAACAAGCTTTCCTAGTTAGAGTGGAGGTGATCGTCATCATCGAGACTGCGGTTGTACAAACAACACATTTTTTCTTTCTTTCGCTTTCAGTGTGTACATTTGTCACTGCTTCTTTTTGATCATTTACCATAGAATGTCTGTTATGCTATTTTTCTTTTCAACACTGAGCTTCCACTACGACTACAAGCAGGCAGCATCAGCAGCAAAAGCTTTTGTTAGCAGTTGCGACAACGTGTTTTATTGTTTCCAATACTGTCAACAGCATTGGCGGCGGCTGTTGCTGCACCCTCTTAAACTAACTAACCAGGCAATGTTTACTTTTGCGGTGGTCCGGTGTGTTTGACAATTGGTGAGGGAAGTACACTTTAGCGAGATTTTTTTCCAATACTGCTGCTAATAATGTTGCGCCCAGGCAAAATTGTTTTGTGGTTTTGGTAGATAATTTTCATTTTCTGGTTTTGCACTTTTTTCCGGTTGCCTAAACAAAAAAGTTAAATTTTAGTTACTGTCAATCATACGCCCAATATTAAATACAAAAAGTAATTGAGCTGTT